CAAGTGAACTCCGGTAAGGGTGGATCCGAGTCTTTCCTTGGTGGATCCTGCCTTCCCATACGTCACCCATACCAGATCCATCGTCGGCTCATACGGGATGCCGCTCATCATGGCCAATCCACCTCAGGCAACGTGAATCTCTGTCTGGCGATCCAAATCCTTACTAATCACTTGAAACTGTCACTTATTCGGGATAGTGATCCCTTGCTAGGTCCATTCTCTTTTTTTTTGAGAAAGCACTTCACCACAGGGGTACGGACGTTGACGACACTCCGTACCCGCGCTCATCGTGAGCGCTAGAAGCTGCACGCTTCAGAATCTCCCTGGTCAGCATGTGCTTGCTGACCATTTGGGCAAACCGAATACAAAGATCACGCTGGTCCAGGATGCGGGACAGCAGCTGATCTTCATGGAGTTCCCGTAACTCCGAGGGTGAGTACTTGAGAGGCTCGACTTAAGCCCAGAACATGTCTTCACAAGAACTCCTGCTGGGACTGTTCTCGGGAAGAACCCAGGGGTAGCCCCAAAGAGGGTAGAGACCACCCCGGATCTCGGGCTTCTTACGACACGTCGAGAAGGCCTTAAGAGGGATACGGTGTGGCGCGAGATGCACACACCGAGCCGCCTCCAAGGTGTCAGCAAACAACTGCTCCTTTTGCACAAGGGTGCGCTCGTATACGCCCCTAGAGGCATGGCCGCCAACAAGGCCGCGAGGAGCGACGAGAAGCGCCAGGAAGAGATCAGCCCCAGAGCTCTCCTCGGGAGGCCAATACCCTCTTGAGTTGATGGCAGCTCCCTGGCTGACAGGTGCTACCAACGGACCCCACACGTACGCTGGGCAGCTTTAAAGTTCTCCTACTGCTGGTCGAGGTCGTTAGAGATCTTTCGGAGCTCAGGAATAGCACCCTCTTCCTCCTCCTTCTCGTCCTCTTCACCCGAGGGATCGAATAGGCCTCGATAGGAGTACCCAGTCTCCTTTTCCTCGCGGAGTGGAGACTTCGAAGTCGTACGCTTCTTAGAGGGCTTGGCGCCTTCGGCTTTAGAGGCCTTAGCACGCGCAAGACCCTCGGCAAGCGAGAAACGTTTGCGAGGTTTCTCTTCCTCATCGCCACCAGCTTTGGGAGTGCCCGTAGCCTTGACGGCCGGGCTCTTAGAGCGCACCGACGTCCTGGGACTGTGATCCCCGTGATCACTAGCGAGCGACTGCACGCTGTCGTCTTTGTGCTGGCTGTGCACCGGGATGTGCTCTCCCGTAGAGACCACAGGGGCATAATGTGTGCTCTCGGACTCGGCTTCGTCCTCACTGCCAGCGTCGAGCGCACGTTCAGCGAACCGAGGGTTTGGACAATTGTCTGGGGAGGTCGAGGGCGACGGACTGCGGCGCTTGCTCGTTCGCTTGCCCACAGCCGCATCACCCGTTGAGCCGATCGACTCGGAGGCCACCTTAGTAGCCTCCTGAAGTGCCGAGCCGTTGCAGTGAGGCTTAGCGCTCTTGGCTTGCGCCTTTCCGGCAGCAGCGTTGGAGCGTGTCTTCGCACCGCTCTTCGCAGTCCCACGAGGCATGACAACGGTCGATGTGGAGACCAAGAAAAGGAGCGCACAGACTGCTGCCCGAGGCTCTAACTGTGAAGTGAGCCTCCGCCGAGCTCGCGCGGCCAAGTCGATGTTTTCAACTTTGAGAATGAAAGTTTGTGACGTACACTTCTTCATTCTGAATGGTCGGTAAAGCGAACCTAAGTGGGGGGGATGTAACGGGGTACGTAGCCTCAAGAGTACCCCTAGTTACATGAAGTGTGACACGTCATACTTCGGGATATTTGGGACAAGGTCGTCCAAAGCCAACCATTGGCTGATGACATTGCTTTTCTAAAGGTGACTTATAGTTTGTATTTAGCTCAAGCTTAACCTACCTATAAATTTACTCAGTTTATAATCTACTTTAAAATTGGTCACTTCGCTCCCTTTCCGTAAAAAGGGGACCAGTGAACTGCCATTCACTGAGAGTTTGTAAACTCTCGGAAGCCAACTTCTTTCACTGACGCAGCTCAAAAACAACCCATGCAAAAATAGTTTTAGCCAATCAGCATCGAATATCACATCTAAAAAGCAATGGCCAGCCTGGACGCAATTTCTGCAAATACTCCAAAACAAAATGACAAAGGTGCTGTACGGCAGCGCCACGACAAAAGAATACGTGAAGTGTGAGAGATCGATATCTCGCACGAACTTCTCAAAGCACGCGAAGAAGTGCAAGGGGATAAAAGCACGTGAATTTAGGGTTGATATTCGCAAGAGGTCGGGGGTTAAGCACCGCACCAAGCGCGTCTCCGAGCAGCGTTCTCGCCGCGCTACACAACTTTTCCAGAAACTCGAAGGTACTGTGAGTATCTTATATTTTATACACAATTGTGGTACTTACGATTTGTATCTAATAATGACAGCGCTCCGACAGGAGCTTAGAGAGGTGGAGCACGGCGCTGTCCCTGACAAGCCACAGCCGAAAGGGCTACGACAACACCCCATTAAGAAGCTCAGTCAAAACGGACCGCTGTTTGAGTACATTTTTGCTCAGGTACAGATATTCCGGTAAGCTTTCAGCTAAACACTAACACTGACTGCCTTTTATTATTAGATGGACGAAATCGACTTGATGTCAAAGGCGTGGTTCCGGAAGACCCACCTTCTTCTGCATCGTGACAAGCGCCATTGGATGCCACCAGAGTTTCAAGGAGAACCTGTTGAGATATTGCTTCAAGAAACATGCCAAGTATTCGGTCAGTACAAGGCACAAATGCTCGATGCGGACGCCCATACTATTTTTGAAGAGAGGGTCCGCCTTCAAAGATATATTGCCTATTTACGAACGACGTATAGCGAGGGCGTCAAGCAGTAGCTTACCAGTTGTGAGGAGATACAGGTTCAGAACGCAGCTCTCAGAGCTCCAATTCAAGATGAAATTGACAGCTTCAAAGAAGGCAAGAATTGTGCAAGTTTAGCTGAGTTTGAAGGGATATATGTGGCGGGCTTTATCGAGAAAGGCAAGATGTATGAGAACAAGATGAAGGAAAAGGAGAAGGATATGACGGACGAGCGACGCTTTCGGGAGGTGTTTGGTTTTGATTTGGATAGTGAAGAAGGATAGTGAAGCAGATTAAGGGATAGTTTTTGTATTAATTTTAACCAATCGGATTTACCCTCTAACAACAAGACTCTAAGTACTAAACTCGACTCTAAGTACTAAACAAGACTCTAAATACTAAACAAGACTAAAAGTACGAATCTTCAAATGATTGGATCTGCAGCTCATTGTTATTTTGGCTGGACGACATGCATATACCCAGCCAGTGTCTATCGTATTTATGGCAAGACACCCCGCATCATTCCAAGAGCTGTTACAAGGCGGTATCGACACAGCAACACACGTGATTAAGCAGGACACAAGGAATGTGTATACATCATATTTCAGGAAGTTCTGCGAGTTTTGTATCGCCCATGAGTATCCCAACCCAGCGCTTACGCGACATCACGAGCTACCTTCTCTACTAGTCGCCTTCATGGAAAGTGTCTCTGCATCCACTTTGGTTTCTAACCACACCGCAGAGAAGATCAGGTAGCTGTAGCAAACTACTACGGAGGTTACGAACGTCGAGACGCAGCAGGACCTGACAAGTGGATGGTACTCACAGACGATCAAGGTAACAAGTATCGCGGAGTGGTGTTTTGGCTAGCCGGCTGAGTGTTGCCAAGCTCATTGGGAGTGATGTGAGATATTTCGCTGCTCAAATGGGAGCTTCAGATGCCAAAAACCCGACCGATTCTATACTGGCAGGTTATAGTGCATACTACTCGAAGCACTGGCAGAAAGACACCGCCGCGTTTCACCTGAATGTTCTCACAATCGATGCGCTAGCACGGTGCATTCGCCTGGACAGGAAGCGTCGGGTTGTTAAGTCGAAACATACCCACCTATAGTGCAAGTAATATATTCTTTCATCAGTATTTTTGGTCTTGCTGTAGTATTTTTAGTCTTGTCTTAGTACTCTTAATCTCGTCAAAACCACATAGTACTTTTGATCTTGTCAATTCCTTTACGCACTCGAGGCCCTCTACAACTTTTTTTGTTCACCTTCGAACTTTTTGCACATTCAGTATTTTTCACATTTTCTGTGCTCGCGAAAACGAATAGAACAAAGTGCTCCGATTGGACTTGTAATCGAGAGTTGCATGTTTTGATGTTTCTGGACGTGGAAGCTACTTCAGACAGAGACTAATACAAAAATTAAGTAAGTCGGAACAGCGGGGTGTCTGACTTTAAGCAATTTACATTTCGCTTTTGAAAACCTGCCCTACGTACGGTACGGTAGTAATAACTGCTAAATGTAAACACGAATAAGATGGCATTGCGCCAGCCTTCCCTACCTGTTGAGGCACCCGGACTTCAGATGTGTGCTATTTACATCGGTGGACATCTACGACCGTGGCATATGTTTCGGCGCACATCCATAACATTGTTTTTACTAACCGGCTAATAAGTTTTTGAAATAATATTACGGTACTACTAAAAGTGATTGAAAAATAGCACAACATTTGTGACGGGGTCACCCAGCACCTGCGCTGGAGGAAGTAGCGCTTCCATTGACGAAATGAAAACATAGGTTTCGCATGCTTTGTAAAAATACCCTAACCCTACTGACGCTCCTATATGAACTGCAAATCGGAAGCTGCTTGTCTTTGCAGAAATGAAAGCTTTAGTCAGTATTAAAGGTAGTCAATAAAATGCACGAATTTGCATTAACCCTATGCATGGCTAAAAGTGTAATTACTGCATAGCGGAGCCGAGTCACCAAGATAGGTGCAGTCGAAAGGATGGGAGGAAACAGGCGGAGTGTAGCCATTCGTGAGGAAAGGTTAAAAGCTAGCAAACTGGCCCGACAGACGAGCACCAGACTGCACTAGAGAGAGAGAGAATCGTAGCGTGTCATTTAGGTACTTACACCGCTTCAGTTTGATAACGCTTCGAGCACGATTGGGACAACCTCGCAGTTGCTGGGACGCACCTGCGTACCCAGCGTGACGGCATAGATCGCCTCAATGATACTAAGATGCGCTGCCACAACCACGTAGCGCTCCGGAACCTCGCGGAAAAGTTCTATCAAAAACCCTAACGCTCGCTTCTGGATCTCCTCTGTCGTCTCACGATGTGTCGGCGACCACAGCTGATCATCTTCATCCTTCATGCGTGAGAAATCCACATCCGGAAACCTGCGCTTGAGCTCGGACAGCGGCCGCCGCTTGTTGCACGTGTGGCAATCAAACGTCTCTCGGCAGCTCTCGATACACGTGATTGACTTGGCACCTGTTCCTCTGTGAAAAAATTCTGCACCGTCTGAATGGCGCGCGAGATTGGAGACACCACGACCATCTCAATGGATGGCATTCCTAGGTCCATCTCCATCTGGACACTCGGTGGCCCCTTGCTCTGTGCGTCCTTAACGCCGAATGCAGTCAAAGGTGCGTCCAGAAAAGTCTCAGTGCGCGCGAACTCATTCTCCCACCGAGGAGAGCCGTACTTGCTGTGGGCCTCGTTGTGCGTACCCTCGGCGTGGCGCAGGAAGTACACGACTTTAACCTGTTCATCTGGCTGCTTCTCCTTTTCAAGTTGGGCCAGTTTCTGCTGGAACTCGCTCCAGGACGCCGGCACCATCTTGAATCGCTTGAAGAGAGGCTGCGGAGTGGTTGCATCGTTTTCAATCGGAGTATTGAATGCAAAGAAACCGTCGACTGCCTTTACGATAGTCAGAGTGGTGGGGATCGAACTGGCACCAGTTGTGTCGATGGTCACAGTCATGGCGGTCGCTAGCGCGGCTGCTGGAAGCGAGCAATGATGCGAATAATGCGAACAAAAACATTTTGTGTTTGAAGCTTGTCAGTCATGTGAGGACGATGAGTCACTGAGACGGGGTGATCGCAAAGCCATGTTATTTTAATAAAATAAATATACTGAGTCATACTGTACCTTTTTGAAACAAAAATATCCTGGGGAACGCCGTGCATTCACCAGTCGAATGGCGGTATTACTAGTGCCCCCGACACACACGGTGCCTCCGTCATAAAGGTCGTCGAGGGGTTCTTCACTCTCAATGGCTCAGCCCCACCCGCCCAGCTGTCGCTCTTCAGGAGGTTCGACAAGATGGCAGCCCCTTGGAACACTTTCAAGCATCAGATCAATGTGTTGACCAAGAGCTCGCGTAATGTGAAGGTGATCTACTTCGTCCGCCATGCTCAGGGGTATCACAATGTGGTAGAGGAAAAATACGGCGTCGGTCGCTGGGAGGATGAGTTCGCGCGCACCGACGAGTTCCTAGACCCAGACCTGACACCGTTCGGAGTCGAGGACGCCAAGAGCAAAGGTCCACCAAGTGTCAAGGCCGAATTGGAGCGAGGAATGCCGCCCATCGAGCGGGTGATTGTGTCGCCACTCTCGCGAGCGATTCAGACGGCACAGTCCTTCTTCACGAAAGATCAGGTGCCGAACCAACCCTTCTTGTGCATGAAGAACTGCCGCGAAGTGTTCGACTGCTACACGTTCGATAAGAGACGCTCGCTGTTAGAGATCAAGCAGAAGTTCCCAGACGTCGACTTCTCGCGGGTGACAGACGAAGAGGACTTGCTGTGGTCGCCGACACACCATGAAACAGAAGACGAGATTCGTGAGCGAGCGAGAAACTTCTTGTCCGAGCTCTTTGACGCTGTACCGGAGCGCTATGTAGTGGTGGTATCCCATGTCTGCTTTATTCAGGCGGTGTGCGCGGTCACCATGGGTATTCACTTCCGTCCAGATAATGGCGAAGTCGTGCCGCTGGTGCTAGAGACCTTTTGATATCCCCATTGCAGGACTTCTTTATATCTTGCCAGATCGTTTATACCAGTGTACGAAAAGACAAAGGAAACGTATCCCTCCTTACATAACACGACACATCATGACATTATCGAAATGCCCCACTACCTTGAAGGTCGAGAAGGTAGTTCTCGGTAGCTTCTGTCTTCCATTATTGCTGTCCGTCCATTCACGTCATGCGACTCTTCGTAATAATCAGTCTCCTTGAGATGAGATCCGAGAGCCACGGATACTGCTGTAGTACATTGTAAGTCATTACCTACTTTTACTACATTATCATTTTATTAGAGCGAATGCAGAGGCGAAGACCATGGGAAACCTGCTGAGCGTGCCGCCGCTCTCGCCACCTGCAGAGCAGAAGCGAATCCTTGCAGCTACTGAGAACTCAAAGTCTCCTATCGTGCTCTGCGCTGAACCGCTATTCGTTGATGAAGTAATGGCCGCACCTGCTTCTTGGAGCGAAGAAAGTCTTTGCCGGACCATCCAGCGCTTCTTCGGTCTGCTTCCAGACTCTCCGGCAAGTCACACTATCCATCATCGATGATAGTATAGATTTTCTACACTGTAATTTTGACAAAACTGCTCAACAGGGAGAAGTTCTCAAGAAGGAGCAGCAATATCCATTGTTTAGAAGGCGGTCAACGTACGAGTGTTAAGCAACTCAGTCTACATCATTGCGCATGCAACGGCTGATATTATTGTCTCTTACGCAGGCCGTCGGTGTTTAACGTGGGTGACCGCACCGAAGCAAATATCGTCATCCAACGGGTTTATCGCCGCTATCGCCGGTTGCGAACTTGGCACCAGGCGACGGATCACATGGTGGAGATTGCTCGAGGCCGACTCGCGGTGCTACGAGCACAGGAGGAGACAAACATTTCGGCGGCCAGCTTCCGGCTTTTGCTAGTTGAAGGTTTTTCTGCGAGCAAGGTCTGCATCTCCGGAGCGTTAAAGACGATTCAGCTACGACTGGTGCGGAATACCGAGGCTGGCGAGTGCTACCTCACATGGACGCCGTCGAGGAAGAAAAAGCCTCGGATCAATTTACGTGAGTGCCAGTTTTTGGTCTATCAAATGCAGTGAGGATCACGAGGTGGTTTGCTTTTTGCTTTTTGCTTTTGTACTTGCAGACGACATCGAGCAGGTCATCGCGATTCGGAAGGAAGGCAACTCAGAGGCTCCGCGGTTGTCCAAGAAAGTAAGCCATCGACGAGGAATCATTCTTGTGTGTAAAAGCTATCACCGAGGACGGATCGTCCTCGAAGTGACAACCAAGAGAGAGCGAAATGTTCTTCTCCAAGGATTCCAGCACCTCCTAAGGGAAATAGTCTCAACAGAATCGAGTCTAGACGATATTGGAGCGCTTCGGAGTCAGCAACCACGGCGTCAAAGTGTGATCGAGTTCTTTGGCACGTCGGAAGAATTGCAGTCTTCGGCGGTGGGCGTCACTGCCGACTTACGTGCGAATGTGGACGTGTCGAGTTCGTCACCAAGACGCGGTTCTGTGGCTGTGTATCGTCCGCAACTGCTTGTTGGGGACGCTCCATTACTATCAAAAGTCCTGGGTGAGTCACCAGCTCAAGAACAAGAGTCGTTTGAACTCGCAGACTCTGTACGGGCAGATGCAAAGGCAATCGAGCATTTTTACCAGACGCGTTTTGACGATTCGCCTGACTCCGCAATTTCTCATCCGTCGCAGTCTTCACGGCCGAGCCGAGCTATGGAAGTTAGGCACTAGGAGTAGCCAGACAAGTGCGTGGCCATAACTTAATGCTACAGTACCGGTATTGACGCATATCAAGAATGAATACGTAGTTAGTTGCTTCTCTATTTTTCTAGTCGGCCTTAGTAAACTTGGGGTTTAGTGGAAAAGATTTCCCATCTCGCTTCCGAAAGCTGGGGCTGTGCACTGGCACAAACCAGAATGGGAACTCGCGGAGAGTACCGAAGACCTCCTGAAAGTTGCGCACTATACCGACGTTGTAGTAGTTGATGTAGTCGGGGTCGTCTCGCTTCTCGCAGTACTCGAGCGTGCTGTAATTGTTCGCAACGAAGTACAGATGCATCAGGTGGAAGCACGCCAGCGCCAAACCCAAACACGCGCTACCGAAGAACACGCTCACAGTCTGCCAAGCAGCAGCGACAAAAGTTAACACTCTTCTACCGCCAGGATCCCAGTAGCTCAACCAACCTGAAGGTGCGAGTTGAACAGCCCTAGCTTGCCGAAGAAGTAGAGAGTCGCAGCTCGATCCAGACTCTCGGCCAGCACGTAGCGGAAAACTAAACTGCTTTGATACAAACATGTTGATGCACTCCAGCCCAGGAAGAGCACGAAGTACTTGTAGTTAAAGTAGCCAATGCACCTGCATCCACCAAAAAAGGCAATGTTGCTTGTCAGCTCGCACCTGTCCCGACACTAAAATAATTCTATACGTACTTGTTGATGTAGACGCAGTGATGGTCCATCTTGAGTAGACAGCGTCTGCATGTGCTGCAGTGGTGGGTTCGATCTGGTTTCAATGCGCGGCACTTGCGGCAGGTGCGAATGGCGCCGTTCATCTTGGTCTCGACCAGTGCATCATCGGGTTCGGCTGCTAGCAACTTTATCTCGTTGAGCTTCTCCCTTGTCAGCGTACGGCGCCGTAGGAATGAGTCGGATGAGCGCATCGTCTGCGCTAGAGACCAGCATAGCAGAAATGTCATGATGTGGAAGAGCACAAGTTCCCAAGGTGATGCCCCGGCTTCCAGCACACGACTATGCGCGAAAACTACGAAGGAAGAGTACAAATACGCAATGACCCCCACAATGATGGCAGGTAACACATAGCGAAGCGGCTTCGGTGCTCGCCACTCGCAGCAACAGCCCATCTGTAGCAAAATCTAAGAATACGTGTGCACCACATCATGTTCTTTTTATTTAATAAAAGAACAATTTATTTTAAAAGAAGTATATTAGTACTTGCAATCGAATTTTAAAAAGGCGCTGCCCGACAAGTTGTTCCGGTGGAAGTGCGCAATGATCCCTCCAGTAAAGAAGGAGCTTGCCGCGATGGTGGCGATCGCACCGACACCATCCACACAGCGGCAACGCGCCGCAGATAACCAGAAGCCGCCGCAGCTGAGTGACAATCAGCTCAATACTGCTCTCGAGATCACGCAGCAGCCGCCCGAAACCTGGTACAAGGACCAATACGGCCGCAAGGCGACGTTTGAGCTTAAAGTGAAGCTCTCGGCAATGCTCTGTGGCAATTGCGTAGAGCAGCGTGTTCTTACGGTGCAGTTGCTGTACGAGAGCGGGTATGTAGAGCGCGATTCATCGATCCCGATCAAGGAGACGTTTGAACTGACTGGTTCTTGCTGCTTAGGAAGGTGGTGGAGAAGCAGGAAATCCTGCATGTCATGTCGGGTCAATGTCTGGACAAGAACAGACAAAGCACGCTGGCGATTCGCATTGCAGAAGTGTCCAAGAACCATCTGAACCAGGTGACGGGAGAGAATATCGCACAGTTGACCCTGTGGGTTGAGATTAACGAGAATGATTGTTGTTATTGCAGAGGTTTCGAGTGGAGATTGCAGTGCCGCAATGTGTGACTGGGTGCGACTACGATGCTTCAGTAGTGTCAGATCCGGTGCTGGTGTTGTCGAAGAAGAAGAAGCGGCCAGTGAAGCAGAACGCAGAGACGGAAGTGTCATCAGCGAATACTAAAAAAGTAAAACGAGCGCCAACGCAGCACACGCCGAAGCGGAAAATGTCGAATACTTCACCTGAGAGCTCGCAGTCTTCGACGACTACGATAACGAGCAATGTGGCGGCGGCTATCGCTGAGATGGAGGAGTCGATCCCGCTTCGCGCTGCTGACACGACAGCTCCATTCACTCCAACGACACCGAATTTGTGCTTGTGGGCGAACGCAGCGTTTGACTTGCTGTCTAAGCTGCAGTGGCAGCGCATTCCGACAAGCGCCACGGAGAAACCCGGTGCAAATCTCGATGAGATTTTGGCTCAAGCGTTGTCCAAGGCATACAAATGCCCATCGTGTGGAGAGACGTACGGGAAAATACCGAAGCACCGAGATGACTGCGATCTAAAGCTGCTTCTGGAGCAAGGTGCGAAGTCATTTTTGTCACGGGACGGATTACCCGGATGTATGTATAACTTACTCTTGGTGCATTTTATGCAGGCAAACCCGAGGTTTCGACGACCGAAACAGCTCCCAATCTCTCAGCGCCATATTCACTCCAGTGGTCGTCGGACAAGCACACGCAATGGCCTGACCGACAAAGACCAATGTACAGTGGCGGCGAGCTTACACCGAAGAAGCAGGCGTCTCCGTCCAATAACTCGCATGAACTGTCAAAATGTGCAAGTGAAGATACCCAGACACCTGCGGACGATCTTTCCTTTGCAGCAGCTGCTGCAAGCTTCAGTATTCACACGTGGAAGGACTACGCATCGATATCCAAGCTACTTTACAGGTTCGTCGTTGATTGCATGTTGACGATCAGTGACTACTTGCTAATTCAGCCATCGCTTCTTAACAGCAATTCCTCTATACACCCCAAGTCACCTCAAGCAGGAGCTGTGCCGTGGACGGGGGTACTACCTCCGGTAGGCACACTCTCACGCGGCTTTCCCTCTCTTCCCAGTTCGCTGAAGAATCAACAAGCTGAGACACAACAGAGCCAACGCTTTTCAGCACTGCTGGCCGCTACAAAAGACATGTCGGCTGATGCGGCAGACCTTTTCCGAGAAAGCGAAGCAGCATTGCATGGAGATGGAAGTATCGTAAGCTCGATGAACTCGATGAACCTGAGCGACTTTTTTCGTCCAAGCCCCGGAGATAAAGACCCGCAGCCCCGGCATGGACCAATATCCTTGTCAGCACTGCTACCAAGCGATCAGTTGAGAAATCCGGAACAAGGTGTGCAAATAATTATGGCGTACGACTTCCAAGGCTGCGGCCTGCCAGCGTTCGATGCGTCTTTCAATCTGGTGGGGTTCTATCATGTCTTGACTGAAACGGTATGTCATCTCCACAGTATTTCAGCTGAGATTTCGAGGTTTCTCTGATCAGTTCGTGAACGTAATATGCAGCATAACACTCCAGCTGAACTACGCTTTGGACCCCTCCTGTTCCCACTTCCTGATGAAATGCTTCAAGAGCTGAAAAACACTAGTGCTGAGTGGAAGCATGACTCGTCAATTTGTCGCCAGCGCGGATCAACACAGGTAAACGCAGAGGACTCGCTAGCCCTCTTGAAGAGTGTGGTGTTGCAGCAAGTCACAGGCAAGTGAGCCGGTAACATTATGCGATTATTTATTTGAATTGACCAACATTTGCTCAAATGCATGCATCGGGCTTTTTTGGGAAGTGGTTCGTTGCTCAAAATTATCATTATAAGTGATTAGAACAATAATAGGATTTTAAATTCAATCATTAGCTTTTTGATTAAATTTCAGCTCAGATTTAGGCAAATTAGTAATTCTCTTATTTTTTAAATTGGAGCCAATTTTTATTGGACTTTCATAGTCCTTTTTCGTGAAAAGACGATTCCAAACTAAGAAAAATAAACCTTTTGATAGTAAGGACGGGGACTTTTTAAGCGCTTTAAATATTGATATTATATCTAAATTCCCCGTTGGAGCAAAAAAATTAAGAGGTTTTGTAAAGGTTCTTCAATATCAAATTCAGGAAAGTGCTAAAAAATGCAATCTTTATGCTCCTAATGCATGCCAATAAAGCTAGGGCTGATGCCGAGACTGGGATAGAGTTTGAAGTATGCTGGAATCAAGATAAAGATAAGAAATATACGACGGAGTGGTTTGTAATAAAATGCAAAATTGCTTAAGCGGCTTGTGTTATTTCTGCTGTTGCTTTGGCTACGATAAAAATAAACGGAGTATCGGCTCGCAAACGCAGCCTTTGACGGTATTTATTTCAAATATAATGTTATAGTTGCCCCATTTGTAATAAAACACTGCACAAATGTTTAATACAATATTTTTTTAAGATCACAGCTCGAGGCGGAGCGGAAGAGTTGTAATCCGCAAGATTCATTATTTTGGTACATGAGCGAGTACGGTGTATTTGTCGCACGGGATATCTCGACAAAGGTGAACGCATCTGCTCGAAGATCTGCATGGCATGGACTTACTGCAGGATGTTAATGCTACAGGATTAGCATCGATCTGGTGGAAATACAGTACTGCACCCCGTTTTCGCGGGGTTGGACTCAATAGGATTTGCAAATAAACCAGATTGTAGCTTACAAACTATAGTTCATTTGAATTCAGGAAAATCACATCCGGAAGTTTATCAGAGGTCCAAGGACGCGAAAACGGTGAACTGGGGACAAAGCTTCCAAAACTTAATTCAATAATGAAATTTTGACAATACATAATTTTCTCCTAAAGCCTAAATTTTTCAACAAGCACTTTAAAAAACTCTTGAATGGATCGTGCCGGAAGTCAAAGCATTGATAACTACCGAGCCAGTTTTTCAACTACCAGTCTCAGGTACTGTACAATTGCACTCAACGACTGGGTTGTTTTTATAAATTACCGAATGAAAATATTTTACATCATGGACATTACATGGAGTATTACATGGAAAATAAGCGGATTTGACGCATGGACTGTAGCATTTCCGTTTTATCATTGGCGGAGGGTATTTCATGAACTGGGATTACTAGCGAAGGGTTCATCTGCACTGCATTTGCGTCATGCCCCTTTTTGTGTGCAATTTTCAACAGAGCCAATGGTTATTCATCAGCTAGCCTGCAAATGTCTTCGTACTCTACTCGATCTAACACCTCTCCTCGATGCGACCCAGAGTCAATTCGGATGCGAGCGCAGTAGTCATTAACTGAGATGTCCAGTAGCTTCGCCGTACAGCCCCGTCCAAGTCCGTTGACTACCTTGACCTTGCGTCCTGGTTTCGGGATGACAGTCTCCAGATCATCCTGATCGAGTCGTAGCACGTCTCCAGAATCCATCAGCTCCACCGTAGCGCAGAACTGATCCCTCACATCCTTCACCACTCCTTTGCACTTGTAGTACGCACCACCACCGACCTTCTTGTTCATCACCTTGACCACAATGCCACTAGTGACCCAGTTCTCTTCTCGCTGTCGCTTCGACTCTTCTTCCAGTCGTCGACTCTTCTCCTTCTTGCGTCGCTCAGTTTCCTCCATTATAGCATCCACCGCGTGCCTCTTACTCGAGCGCTTCCCCTCCGACTCAGCCTCTACCGTCTGCTTCCCATCCTGTTCAAACACAATCGCGCCCTTCGCTCCAAACGCAGCAGTCTCCTTCTTAGCACCTTCTCTCTTCGACCCCAGTGACATTTTGATCTTCTCTCCGTTCTCCCCCCGCTGTAACTTTGTGGGTTGGTGTTGCGTCTTGGCGCCCTCGTTTCCGCTGGCAATTTTCAGTTGTCGTTCAATGAACAGTCTGTTCCTCTCGTCGTGGTCAAGTTCCGCTTTCGTCTTCTTCTCCAGCTCTTGCTTCCTCGCAATCGCCTTTGGATCCCTGTCAATGTATTGGATGTGCCAGCCTTTCTCCGTCTCGTCCACCACGCACTTGCCTGTGCGCCCCAAGTACTGCACGAAGCCGCCGAGCGTCGTCCACTGCGTCGCATTCATGTGGGTGTGCAATTTGTCAGAGATATATTCATTGTAGACATGAGTGGCTCGCATCCTCTTGGTGCCGTGACGGCGTCTCAAGTTCTCGAGGAATGCCTCCTCGAACATTTCACTGTAGCCGCTCATAAATTTGTTCGGGTTATTTGCGACGATCAACATTTGTCGTTGATGGGCCTCAGAGGTCGTGTGGCATTTAAAGCCATTTTCATCTCGACATTGTTTTTGACACACCTGGCAAAACCAGCGGAGCTTCTGGAGCCCTTTCGCCTAGAGGTTTGTGCGAAACGAAACGTGAGTTGTTTGCAGCGTAAAAGGAGTGAAAGCTGCAGGCACATATTCAAGAGCGTGTAAAGGGGGAGAAGACGCACCTTCATGCGGATGCCGATGGCCTTGGGCGTCAGGAAGTCGTGCTTTCCCATAGGTGAGAGATGCTCTGATGTCAGCGGGCGAGTATTTGAGAATGCAAATTGTGAGAATTTTTGCTAATTAGGAGGATATTTTTTTAATTTTATTCTACTTTTGACAAACACTTTTTAAAGCCGGTAATGTATTTTACGCATTTTCCAACTCAATTTGGCCCGTTTTCTGACAATTGTTTTAACTGGCGACTAGCCAAGTCTATTGTCCAACTCTCATCCGTGTATTGTCCACGATGTGATCTATGTAGTTAATACCGGTACAATACTGTATACCGGTAGTTGTACCAATCACACCAGCCTTTCATTTGCTTTTCAAACCCAAACTCGCCCCCCTTCGAGCATTGCCGCCGCCGCCGCTCCGTTACCTGCACGCCGCAGCCTACGTCACGAGATCAACCGTTGCTGCAATCGCCGGCCATGTCGCTCAGTCTACCCGCTTCCGCGACGTCTGAGGTGCGTTATCTTGCTGTTTGTGGTCTCTGTAAACGTGTTTCTAACCGTGCGTTATCTATTTGTAAATACAGGGTGGATCGTCCGACTCCTCTTCAGATATCGACACCACGGCTTCCGCAGCCTCCGGCGCGGCTGCAAACTCGGACGACGCCTCGCCTGACACGGACGATTTCAAGCGTCCATGTATTGTCCAGGTCGTAGACTCTCCCTCCCTTGTGGAGGGCCCCGCAGACGTGACGTATCCGAGCTGGTCGGCGTGGAATGAGTATTTGAAGGCTTACTCGGTAAAGTCCCGCCAGGTCATCCGCATCCAGTCAACGCTTAGTTGCGTATTGAGAAACAAGCGGCTGGGTCAAACAGCGGCAGCAAAGCAGGGAATGGATGTTCCGTACGTACCAGAGACGTGGGGTGCTTACCAACGCACATACATCTGCACACATGGCTGGCCAGCAAAAGACAGGAGCAGCGGATTGCGAACCAAGCACTTCGTCCGAGGATGCGGCTGTCCATTTCGATTTCTGGTGCAGCTCGTGCAAGTTGACGGCTTATGCCGCCTTCGCGTGAAGAACGGTGTGTACCAGCACAACCATGCGGTGAAGACAGCGCAGTTCAAGACGTACGCGGAGAACCGTAGGTTGGACGACACGGACACGAAGGATGCTGTGGACAGCATGGTGATGTACGGTAGAAAGCGCGCACGCATCTATGAGTATCTTCTGGGGAGAGGCGAGAACCTCGTCAAGAAGGATGTGGACAACATTGTGCAACGTGTTAAAGCAGAGATAAGAGGAGGGTTGAATGACGACGACGCTTGCGCCGCAACTCTCGCGGAATTCGCAGCTATTGACGGTAACGTAGTCACGGTGGACGAAACTGATGCGGGACACTCTGGTGTGATCAGTATGACTTCCAGACATATGCGCGACATGGTTACTAGGTTTCCAGAGCTTTTGCTTGTGGACTGTACCCACAAAACGAATCGGTAAGTCCTCCCATGTATTGTGCAATTATTTGTCCATGTATTGTCCATGCTTATTTTAATGTCATGCCCATGTATTGTGCGATTCTTGTCCATGTAATGTGCATTAGATACAACTACCAGCTTTGTACCTTCATGATGATAGACGACAATGGGCGTGGGCAGCCTGTACAACAGTCTTTGCTCGAACGAAACGCCGATTGGCAGATGTCCCGAGCGCTGGATCATCTATTTCGGATTGACGATAAGATTGGCGACAAGGTTCAAGTTATAATGGTCAACAAAGATCTGAATGAGATCCGCGTGTTGCGTCGGTACTTCCCTAAGTCGCGCGTGTTGATTTGCGTCTTTCACGTCTCAAATATCTCCGCACAGCGTCCAGGAAGCCAGAATATGGTAAACTTTCGTCGGACGATCACGACGCCATCGACTCATTAGTCCACAACATGGTATATGCCTTAAGTTCAGAGATCTACGAGACCAATTGGACCTCCATGAAGGCACTTTGCACTAGGACTGGATATATGGCATTTTACAACTACATGGATGAAAACTGGAACACTTGTACGGAGATGTGGGTCATGTACCAACGCTCACGGTTGGCACATTTGCGCGTCCACACGAACAACCATTTAGAGAATTGGTTTGGGCATTTTAAGGACGGGGTAAACTCCAACATGACCATGACGGACACCGTGAAGGCCCTTGTGGGTGCTGATGCCAGGACTTCCAGTGAATACGTGTTCGACAAGACTAGGATCGGGTTACGTGTCAACCGCAACTACGACGAGGAGATGTGCCAAGTTTTGCGCTTTACGACGCATTTCGTAGCAACACACGTGGAGAAGGCGTACGTAATGGCATGTTCGAAGGTCGACAAGTTCAATTTCGACTTAAAGTCAAATCCAGGCTTCGTGGAGGTGACGGGTAAACACAAGACGCATGCTGTGGATTTGAAAACGTGGAGCTGCACTTGCTCGTTCGCTTCTGCAATGCGTCTGCCTTGTCAACACGCGATCGCGTTTCGGAAGTGGAGTACCGCCCCAGGAAGCGTAATACCGCTGAGTTGCATCGATGAAAGGTGGGTTAACTCACAATTTATCCACGTATAAGCCGTGAGTTGTCCATGTAATATCCAATATTGATGTTGTGCTGAGGGTCTGACATGTCATTCATTTAGATGGTTACATCCTGCTGAACAACCGATGACTCTGCGGCCTTTTGTGCTTAATGAGTTTAAACCAGGGGAGGCGAAACGCAAGGTGCTTGACGCTAATGTTAAGTACAAGGAGGCAGTCAGCGCGTTCCAGGCTATATGCAATGAGCTAGCCGATATCTCTGATGACGACGAGTACCGTGAGCATTTAGACTTCGTCGTGCAACAATGGAGGAACATTAGGCAGCGCAAACGTGTAAAGGTTGAAAAAACGAAGGTTCCAGTCACGAGAGAAGAAACAGAAACAGATGAAGTGACCTCTCCAGTGACAACCAGCCGAAATCGAACCGGAACCAAGCCCAAAATGGAGCAGCTTGCGCTTGAGACCACTCCTGATGACAACGAAGAGAAAAATTCTGATAGTGGATTGCGCATCCGTCTGAACCCCAAAGCTGCGAAGTCTGGTAGGCCCCGGTTGAACAGAAAGGAGAGAGAAGCAGACGACAAGAAGAAACGAGCGTTGTTTAACGAGTCAGAAGCCCATAGAAGATGTCTTGGAGAGGTGACATTAATACAACTTGCGCGCAGTCTTCAACTTGAGAAGCCTTCACTTCAAGACACTCTACGTCGTGTTCTGCCACTCCAAACCAGGTACAACAACGTGGGTAGCAAGAAACCCAACTACACTAGAGAGAGTGCGCCTGTGCTGAATGAAAACGCGTTCTACCTACTTCCACCCAAACTGTTGGACAAGTGCGTTGCCGTGCTGCCTGTGAGCAACACCAATGAAACAGCCATCGATGTACTCACCCAGAGTCAAACTACACAAAAAGACGAAGAAACATCTACAATACCTGGACAAATCATGGACAGCAACGGAAAAAAAACCGGAGATCGAGTGTGTCTACATCGCGGGTATCGGAACATTTTCACGCGAACAGATTGAGGCCATGGCATACTTAGCAAACGTGAAGCGTTCGTGTGATGATGGAATGGCGTTTACCAAATGGTTAACACAGGATGCAGCCAGCGCCATACCAGCAGCACAACAATCGAAGCTTCAGAGCATGGCAGAGGCCATTGCTCGCGCCTATCCCCAAGATACCATCCCAATTGACGGCAACGATTACCACTACGCGATGCTGTACCGTCTCAAGCCGCCCCAATGGGCTAATGATGCGCTGATTTTGGCTTTTTGCGCGAGATTGTACAGGACGGGCACCGGCGTTCGCATCGTCGGTGTCGAGGCAGCCTCGGCGTCAAAGAAGAAGAAATCCATGAGTGAAAAAATGAAGACAAAGGTTCAGGAACTACTCACTGAAGCGGATGTACTGCTCATTCCTGTAAATTTTGGGAACATGCATTGGTGTGCAATGATCGTGGATGGCAAGCAGAACAATGTCCTGTACTACGACTCAATGAACCTGAAGACGTACAAGGACGTACTGGACCGCATGTCGTGGGATCTGGCTACTACGCTCAGCGACGACTTCAAAGTTGTGTCCGTCAATGGACCGATCCAGACAGACGGATACAACTGCGGATTCTACGTAATGTTGAGGTTTTGGCGATATGTAGACAAGAGTGTGTCGCTGGACGTAGCTCCGATTGGTCTAACGCTGTTACGCTTCCGCATCCTTCACTTCGTGCTTCACGGTAGCAAGCCATAATGCAACTAATACAATCTCATTTCTATTGAAACTGGAATCGACCCGCCTAATGTTCATGCGTATGGTTGACCTCCTGACTTCTGTATACCGGTATGTACGAGAGATGTCAGAGGACTTTCGTTTGCGAAGGTCTAACAACTTCCATTCACTATGGATTTTAAAAACAGTGGTAAGTAATTTATTTCGACACATGGACATTACATGGAGTATTACATGGAAAATAAACTGAGTCGACGCATGGACTGTAGCATCGGCCATGATAAAACGGAAAATCTACTGACCAGGTTGTTTTTACATAGCCGTGCGACAAATGACCAGGGTATTGACCAGGTAATCGGTACGGTATTGACCAAAATGTAATTAAAAAGTAAATTACAATGATGTGCAAAGATTCCCCTTACCCTATCAAATCTTAAGATTTTGTACAACGGTGGGCGGTGAAACGTTCTCCTGGCCTCTCATTTCTCAATTTGCGCCAATAGCCCACAATGAAGCGGAACCTGTGTAATGTGGAAGACGTCGACTCCGACGAAGACGACGAAGCTGTGTCAACGTTCGGTGGAGGAGGAGATAGTTCAGGCGACGACAATGAAGACACGGACCGGACGCAGCTAGCCCAGGGCACGCAGTTAGTTCGGGAGGGCAGCGAAGACTCACTCGACGATCTCTTACTCCAGGAAGATTCATTTGAAGGGAAGGAGCTGAAGCTGCTCCACGCCAGTTGGGACGCTTGGGAGAGGTA